GATGTAATCTATCCAGCCTCACCTGGAGTGAACTTAGCTACCTGAATCACTATCTCTGTAAAATACAATTTTTTAAGGCCCTGGCCAGGTAGCTCAGTTGGTTAGAGCATCATCCCAATACCCTAAGGTTGTGGGTTTGGTCCCCAGTCAGGGTACAAAAAGCAATCAATGAGTGCATAAATAAGTGGAACAATAAATCAATGTTTCTCTCTCTCAAATCAGTAGATTAAAAAAATTAAAAAGAATTGTGATACAATATCTGAAGTCTTTGTAGGAAAGCCAATAACTAATATATGATCAATACTCCTTGTAAGTGGCCTTTAAAGCAGACTATAAAAGTTAAAGCCCCCAAAGCTATCTTAAGTCAAAATATAACCTTCCCACATGCAAATTACTACTGCAGGAGCCACTATGCTAACCATTTCAAACGGTTCCTAGGCATCTCAACAAGAGGTACCCTGGTTCCTGATTTCTGTATAAAAGAAAAAATCGATTTCCCAGAAGACAGTCATCCTTGGTAAACAAACCAGTACTGAAATAATCCTTTATCTGTGTTTCTACTTACCTTCAGTAACATCCTGGGGGTTGGAAGTCCGGTCACTGGCTGGATCCAATGCCACAGTTGCCAGTGAAGTGGTGGCTCCAGACATTTCACTCATAGGCTCACTACGGCTTGTTTCAGGCACACTTTCCCGGGAGCTAAATCTTACTCGGGAACTGGATCGAGAGCTGAGGTCTGGGCTGGTGTCTGACAAACCTGGAATATCATCGATCTTTGTTGGTGTCACCATGAACCGAACTGAAGCCATCTTGGTGGTGGTTTCTGGAGGATGCATTTTTCTTTTCCTTTATAAGGGCAAAGAGAAAAAAAAGGGAAAACCAGCAAAAATCCTTCCTCCTATACTAGCTGCTTTTGATCTCAAAAATAGAAAACTTAAAAAAAAAATCAATTACCTTTATTTATACCACAGAGCCCAAATAAGAATCTTTATACTCAGAATTCAAGCAGACTGTCCTAGAAAGTGCACTACCACTAGCTGAAAAATATTTTTTTAAAAAAGACAAAACGATGCCAATCTCATGTAACTTTGTTCCTTCAGAATGAATAGCTATCTAGCTATGTCTCCTGGTCCAGAGCTACAGGCTCAGTGTCATGGCCTTAGAGAAGCAGGTGAAGCCTTTCTCCCCTCGACCCTCAGGTTTCGGCCAAGGTAGTTAGTCCTTTATCTGGTAAATGTCCCACGGTTTTAGTTGAGCAAAGTGTGCACAGGCCCACCCTTATCATGCAAATATAGCAGAGAGATTGCAAAACGGTGTACACTGGCCACCTGTTGTATATCAGGTGAATACCCCACAGGTCTGGCTGGGAGGAGGTGTGTGTAGAGCCACCCGAGGTTTTTGAGGCCGATAATCCACTTGGGTCTGGTGGGAGAGGTGCGCAAGCATAACGGGAAAAATATCCCACACTAGAACAGAGGAGAATGAGAAGAGAAGGGTAAGCGGAGGAGGATGCTGGGGCAGAACGGATTTCTGCCTCAGAGAGGTCTGCGAGGGGGTGGCCCGCCTGCTGTTCTCGCAGAAAGGTCCCGGGTATCTGAGAAGAGTCGCGAGCAGATCGAGACACCTGACTGCAGCTATGGGTCGTGGCAGGTCGTTGCTAGTCCATCGAGCTCAGGGTCCGCTCCTTGGGTTTCTCTTGCGTGTGACAGCACGGGCCACCCCTTCACTGAGAGACGCTTTCTCCCCTACCAGGTCCCTGGCGTAGGTCAGCCCCTCGCTGTTTTCCCCTGGAGTCCTAGCAGAAGAAGTGACGGCCTCGCAAGCTGACACTAGCTATTGCAGGAGGGGGCGGCAATGAGGGGAGGAGGAGGTCGCAGGCACGGGATCCCGACGCCAGCTGACATGCGGTGCGCGCGCAGCTGTTGTTTACAAGCCGGTAACTGTTTCAGAGCCGCAGCGCCATCCTGGAGGGCTCGGGATGTTTGGAAGGCGCCCCCTCCCCAGCGAGGCACCCAAGTAGCAGTTACGTGACCTCACCGCTCCCCGCCCCTGGTTTGGTGGGCTGTGCCGGAGCCGCTGCAGCCCGTTTCTTCTCTCTGGGCTTATTCCTCATTCGAGGTTAACGGTCCATGAGAAGTCGGGGAGCGATTGGAGGAACTGTCCCGCTGGTGTCCGGAGCCCCGCCCAGCCTCTGCCGCCCGCAGACCTGACGGAGACGCCTGAGCGCATGCGTGCTCCCTGAAGTCGCAAGGGAGCTGGCGGGTGAGGGGCGGGCCAGGCCGAATGTGGGCGGACCGGAGCAGTACGGGAATTGTAGTTCAGCGTTTGGCCCTGAGCTACCAGTGCGCCACACAAAACAAATCCTTTTCTTTCTAGGTCCTGCTTTCTTGTGTCTACTGACTGTGGAGGGACCTCGGGAAGCAGGCACTGCCTCTTGCCCTTAGAATCTCAAAACTCCCTCTTTAATAAAGAGCGTCTCTGAAAACTCAGGATTTTTTAAAAAATTCACAGCCCTCCCACTACCATATATCTAGGTTTGACCCTCCATGAAGTATTTATGCAGAGATCTAGTCTAAAGCATTTTACCAGCGATTTTCAAATGGTGTGCTGCAAGAGCCACACTGGTGTGCCACAATAATCCTAAAGCATGCAGTACCTATTTAATCAGGGGCCCTGACCTCTTTTCCCTTAGATTGTCAAATAAAAAAAAATGACAAGAGCCAACACAACAGCCATCCAGTGTGAATGAATCAAAATTCTATTTTTTTGTCAGATTGGCAAAAAATATATTTTTTGGTGTGCCAAAAAATTTTAGTAATTAGTTTATATGTACCATGAGATGAGAAGGGTGGAAAATCACTGCATTGTATCCTCAAATTTATGCACTCTGTTACATTTTCACCCTTTTTCTGTGCTTCAAACAAAATGCTATGTCCTTCAGAAAGTATACATCGCTTAAATCATGTATTTATCTATTAAATATGTAGTTTGTTAACCATACCTAATAAAGATGGAAAAAATGCTATCTTCACTTTCTAGTCAGACTGAACATTCCATTAACAAAAATGCTTTTATTTTAAACTTAAAGATACTTTCTCTGGACTCCATTCCCAGTATTTCCCCTACTATTGTCACCAGGATATTTTTTGTAGTATGTTTACTTAACGCATCAATAGGTGTTCAATATGTTTTGGTTCATCAATGCTTCATTTGAGAGAAATTTCCTGTAACTTCATATATGAATACACACACACACTACCTATATATATACATTTCCTATATACACACACACACTACCTAATATAAATATACTAAACCTTTTAAGACTCTTCTGTTTCTGGGCATGTCTCAGATGTTAATAGCTAGGGGATGTCTTAACGAAAAAATCCTTGGCATATTCAGACCAGTTTGCCTTTCTCTTCTACTTCAATTCAGAGTATTTACAGGTGGAAGTCTTTTTAATTCAGTCTATACAGAACATAGAATGGACCAAAATTAATCTTTTTTGGGGGGGCAGTAAATTATAAAGATAGGATTATAGTCAACTTTTTTTTTAAATTGGACGATTTCATTAACTGACTTTGGTGCTTAAGAAACTTCCATAGATCTTTTTTTTAGCCATTTGCAAAATTTTTAATATTTCTTCCATCATTATCCCCTTAACAGAACAGGAAAACTCTTTAAATCTGTCAGATCCATTGCTAAAAACCCCATAAGTAAATGGGCTAAGAAATAAAAAATTGCTCAACAGGAAAAAACTATTTCTCTATTTCTGTAAGTTAAAGTAATTAATCTAAAAATCATGTCTTCTGTTAACTATAACCCAAGTTTAGAATTTTCTTTCCTCAGCAGTCAACAACTATGCTGAACTTTTCTGCTGAGATGGTCAGACATCAGATTCCAAGAGAAACGTATCTACCCTTTTCAGGGCCAGTCTTAACAAATCGAATTTGCTCTGACTTAAGTTACATCTGCTTCTGGAATCTAGAATTTTGATGCAATAGAAAAATATTGTATAATTAGAAAACGATCTCCACAGATAAAGTTTTTAAATTTGTGGCATTAAGCAAACATTCAAATCCAATGTCGAAAGCCACAAATGAGAAGATTGGGAAATGAATGGATTAACCTGACAAGGAGAGGTACTGTAGAAAGAAAAGCAAGCTAGCATTTTTTGAGTGCCCATATACAGTACTTTGCCTCATTTTCCCTTTAGTGGAATTGAATGAAAAATTTATAGCTGCCCCATGACAGCCACTCCAGTTCTCTGAAATCTCCCAGGTTTTGTTGTTGTTAACTCCCAACAGTAGCTTGAAAAACAACAAAATCCCTCCTTCAATCTCTCATATGTCATCTTTTAAATTAAGATCCACATAGTGTTCCACATAGCAGCCAGCTGCCAGCGAGTTAAGTTAGGTGTATGTAAGAGGGCAAAGCCTTGATGGAGAGAACTAAAAGCCTGGGAATATTACCAGAGGAGTAGTAAGTACACATAAAGGCATTCCCCTTCACAACAGTTGGACAACACTGTAGATATATTAAGGTCCACCACTGAACCCTATCAGTTTTAGAGTTAAAAGAAAACTTGGAAATGATGAAAGTGGGACTAAATAGGTTAAGTGACTTTCTTAAAGTTATACAAAGAGGGGAGAATCCTGGTCTCCTGACTTCCAAATCACTGCTTTTGCTCTACAATATGGCTATTATTTATCAAACAACGCTTTCATTTTGAGTCAAAATGTCAAGTGTCAATAAATTACTTGTATTATCACAAGAATATTTTTCAGTGAATGCTGACAATTACACAAAAGTCTTTTTCGACCTTTCCTTCCCTTCCCCAACACACTCCTATCACTAACAGTACAGCACTACTGCTAGAGCAGCTACTTAAGATATTCTTCCAAGCTTACCCCTTGTTTTACCCTTGGGTAACTCTTCCCTTGTATCTCTCTCGTCTTTTCTTAAGCCACTCTTTTCTTCCCACAACATGTGAAATGAGAGCTCTTTCAAATCATTTTAATAACCTGACAGTGAGGCAAATATAAAAAGCAGATTCAAATTTGTTCCATTTAAGGCGATACTACCATGATTGAGTGGCATATGCATGATCAAAGGTAATGATGACACCGGATTCCAAAAAGCAAGGGTGGCTAGAAGGCTTCAAGGCTCACGAATTGAAGAGCTTGGTTTAGGAAAGTCTCAGAGGGGTCGCAGGCGGCAGGAAAGACATGAAATTTAAGGGACCCTCAGAGTACAGGGCGCGGTTGCTGGGTCATCAGCACCTTGAAACGTTTCTTGATGGTGATTCGGTGTCTAGAGTATTTGTCGTCTGGGGAGAACCGAGCAGGATGGGCCGAGCAGGTCTGTTGTCCCGTAGGGTCCAATTTCTGCTCGAGGAAGAAAGAGGGAACATAGACTCAGTACTGGAGTGGTGAGAAAACTCAATCACTGGCGTCATAAGGGAGATGGAGGTTGGGACCGGGAGGGGAAGGCGAGACAAAGGGTAAAGAGGAAGACAGGAGAGGCGCGAAGGTCAGAACAAGCCTGCACTCCAGCTTCTGCCGCGCCTGGCTTCTGGGCTTTCTGGTTTCCCTTACCCAGCTGGGCAACTCGGTGGCTGGTTTGAACCTCTCCCACCGACATTTTTCGCCATGCCCATTTACACCCTGTTCCCTCTTCTCACCTTCAGGGTATAGATCCGGTCTCCCTGTTCATTGAGGTAATACTGGAGAAACATGACCACGCTGAAGCTGGAAGTTCCAAGCCCGTCCGCAGGTCAGTCTAACTGACGGCCTCACGTGTTTGTCAACTTCCTTCCGTTATAGCCGGCAGTCTCTCTCAAGGCATGCTGGGAAAGGTAGTTTATTGTAGGCCTTTCTCCAGCTAGGCAGAAGGCGGCGCACTAGAGCAAGGACTTGGCCCAGTTGCAACCAAGTTGCAACCTTGCAGGCCTTGGAGCCAGTTGCAGCCTTGCAGGCGTTTTAAGACACATGGAATGTGCCCATTGTGTGCCAGACATTGCTAGACTTTACAGGGGGATAGGGATGGATGTGCGTTGAACTTTAGTGAACAGAATCCTGTCTTTATCTCAAAGTACACACCCATTACCAGGGCGGTGGTTTTCTAGTGCGTGGAAAAACAAAGGGGTCCAGGATTCAGAGCCCCTTTACCTTAGGGAAGAAAGAAAGTTTTCTTTCCTCCCCTCTTTTACATCCGATTTCCTCGCCCCGTTTCAAAGTATTGGCGGTAAAGAGTGCATGACGGGTATCCAATATTCTGTACACCAAAGAGAGCGTGCAGTTATGTTATGAAACCGGTGAAGTATGTTTTAGTGGTCGAACCAAGATTCAAGCTCAGGTCTCTATCACAAATTCAGCGCGCTTTCTTATAGTGGTGAGTACCTAATAATAGCATACTAAGATCTGTCTTCTAGGGGTATTTCGAATATTTTAAAGAACGGAGAGATTCTCCTTATAGGATTCTTCTTTCTAGTTTAAAGAAATGAAAATTGGAACTCAGGTAACACTACAAAGATGATCGTTCCGTATTATTTATAATCGCAAAAATATTGCAACATACATTAAATTTTCTAACCAGAAGAACCTGAAAACTTTTTTTAAAAAAAGACTATAAATGTAATGGTACAGGCGTATTTACTTGTAGTGCCTGAAATAGCTCTGTAACGATTCACAAGAAACATAATATTGGTTCCCTTGGGACAAAGAACTCGGGTTCCAGGGGAGAGGAGTGGGAGGGAGACTGTGATATACTATTTCGTATACTTTTACTTTGGAACAATGGTAATGTAGTACCAGTGAAAAGTTTAAAATTATTGAACAAAGTTTTAAACAACAAGATAATTTAACAGATAAAAAAGGACTTTTTGGTCTTGATATTTTAGGCTAAATGCCAGTTTTTGCCAGTGTGGGCTTTTCAGCCAAGGTCTAAGGCTGAGCCTTCCGTGGACTGCAGAGCTGATGGCAGGGGACTGTTTGGGAACTCCAGAACAACTTTCCAAGGAAATGATATGCATATGGCAACCAAACACTCTGGATCTTTCCAAACCATCCTAATTTCAGATATTCCATTCCCTGGATACTTAAGTACACATACTGTGTGTTCTGAGTTTGGTTCAGAAAATGGAGTCAACGTTGAGTTAACTCAAGGGTCTGCCACAACCTGCTGTTAATAGGGAGTCATTTACAGAACTGGGTGGGATTGAAGGGCACAAAATTAAATATATTGATGAAGAATTGTATAAGGAATAGAGATGTAAAACTGTAATGTTGGGAATCTGAGAAAATATTTACACATTGCCCTAAAGAGGTACACGACCATTGTGTTGCCATACTCTGGTTTGTTGGGAACTCCTTGTTACTGACTTTACCAGAGTCACTTGTGGAATATCTCCCTACCCACACCTCACATTTCCCTTTCCCCTCCCCCACTGCAGAATGCCTCGAGTCCTAGATTCTAGTTCTGTTTTGATCTAATCTTGACCCTTCCCTCCTTGGATCCCTGTGTATCTACTGGAGCCAGGTTTCTCTCTGGGTCCTGGACCAGACTTTCTCATTCTGGAGGCTTCCAGACAGCCACATTTAGTGCCCAAGCCTGAGAGGATGACTTCAGATGGAGGTAAGTCTACAGGTGGCAGGGAGGGTCCTTGGAGATTCAAATTTGACACTTTACCTGGTAGTGAGCACTTTAGACTGACCTAGAGGGATGGGAGAGTACCAGACCAAAGGCATCACACTTGGGGAAGCTGGGAAGGAAATCATGCCATTAAGACTGGGGGTTGGGGAAGGAAGAGGGCCTTCTAGGAGGCACATCAAAGCACCTTAGAAGAGAGTACCGAGGTGTAGAGAAGGGATGGCAATTTGCAATTTGTTGCTCTGGAAGAAGGGCCTCTTCAACGTGTGTTTGTGTGGCAGGGACAGGAGTATGTGTGGTGTTTGTGGCACAGAGATGGTTCAAGGGGGAAGGCCCAAGTTCCTATACCTTCTTTAGGTAATTTTGGAGCTTGATTTAGAATTTTGATAGAATTGAGCTGGGGCCACTCTCGATGTATTGGGGGATGGAGTGGGGTGGGGTGGAGGCCTTAGCTAGAAAAACTGTTCAATGGGGTTATCTGTTGCCAAGTCTGTAGAGAAATGTCCTCCTGAGAGCTAGCTTGGCAGGTACTCTAAGTGCCTCTGCCCATAGTCTCATGGTTCCTTCCAGTCCCAGATATGCTTTCTCTCTCAGTTCAAGGAGCAGTTTCCCTTGATTCCCCCAGGGCCAGGGGAGGTGGGTCACTCCAGGCAGAATGAGAGCTGGGGCTTCAATGAGGAGCTCTCAATTTTTCTATTTTTTTGTGGAACTCTGGCCTTCAGACCCATTTCATTGTCTGAAATTCTGACCTGCCTTATGGTCGAGATGATGAGTTTGCTCATATTCCCTGTCTCCTTCAAGGTCAGGAAGCAGAAACTGAGTGTTGTTAGTTTGCCAGCAGAGTATTCTTTATAAGGAGGATGAGAGTAGCATGAAATTAGGCAGATGGTCTATTATTATTATAAAAAGCCCTAGGAGACACATGTCCTGATTAATTCAGCAACGTTTTATGTATTTATTCTTGGTCTCTTTGAGCTCACATAGCTCCTCCTCAGCAAGTACTGTGTTTCTGACTTCATTGTCAGTGCCTTGTTTTTGGTGCATTTTACATTTCTGATAGCAGCTCCAAGCAGAAAGACCATAGATAGTCGGTATCACCAAATTTTAACATGTGCAGCAGCCATGTAAGGCTCTGGAAAACTCCCATCCCACACCACCCCCCTCCCCTCACCCATTTCCTGGCCCTTATCTCTAGTCATTCCTGGCTATTATATAACAGAATTTCTGAGAACCAAACATTTTAATCCACACCCCCTCTCCTGGGAACAGTGCTCCTGTGAGTGGTGGCAGGGACCACAGAGCAGCTGAAAGCAGCATTCAGGTGGTTTGAATGTGTTTGGAATGTGTTGGAATCAGAGACATACCTGTATGTCGAGTGGGCTGAGTATGAGCTCTTGGGGCCAAGGGTCATTGCAACTTCTCTAGTGCAATAATTTTCAACTGGGAGTAAGGGACATCAAAACCACTTGAGAGACATTTGCAAACTATGCAAGTTCCCCCTCCATATGCCCTTCCTCACCTGTTGAGAATCAGAGCTCTGATTCTTTAAGGACTAAAGTGGAACTCTGATAACCTAGTTTCTGGTCTGCTTTTCTCCTACTCCATTCTGTCTTTTTCTTTGTCTCAACAGCAACTTCATTGCCTGGACCAGATATGACCTTGAAACCTGGCACTGCCCTGTCTCCTTTCACTGCACTTCCTATTCCCCCATCTGCTCCTGGCCCACCAGACCAACCACCCTGGGAGCTGCCTCCACAGCCCCCCATGCCTTCAGCTTTATCTCCAGGTCACCCTCTGATGATCTCTGCTTTCCCTAATCCATTGTTGGTGACAGGAGATGGGGGCCCTGGCCACAGTGGGGCTGAAGCCAGCAAGGTCATTGTCAAAGTCAAGAAAGAAGGGGGGGCAGCTGAGTCCTCTCATATTCAGAACTTTATCCTTACTCAGACTTCCCACAATTGGATTGCCTCAGGTGCTCCCTGTGGGGGCCCGGAAGGCCCATCCCCTCAATTTGTGACAGCCTCTAACATGAAGGCCCTTCTGCCCACTGAGGCTGTTGTGGTGAGTCAGGAGGGCCTCCCAGGCCTTCCTGCTCAGGCTCCACCACCGGCTGCCCACCTGGTCCCCATTGTGTCTCTGGAAAAGGCTTGGCCAGGGCCACATGGATCAACCGGAGAAGGAGGCCTGGCAGCAGCCCAATCCAAGCCGGCGCTGGGTGACCTCTCCTATACCTCTAACGGTGTTTATGAGAACTTCCGTCGCTGGCAGCTCTACAAAGCCTTGGCTCGGAGGCATTTATCCCAAAGTCCCGATGCAGAAGCTCTTTCCTGCTTTCTTATGTAAGTGGGGAGACCTGAGATTAATTCTAAGATTAATTATCCTAGAGCTTTTAATTAAGGAGGGCTTTGGGATGGAGAAAAGAGGTTAGGCTAGGTAGGAATACTTGAAGGCAGGTCATGAGGGAGATGAAGAGGCTAAGAGTACAAAAAGCACGATGACAGTGGTGATGACAATGATGATGATGATGATGATGATGATGATAAGACTCTTTACCCGCTTCCCAGTTTATAACAGGCCTTCAGGTGTCTTTCAAGTGGTGCTCACAATTCTTGAGTTGGGGAAAGCATTTTTATGGTAACCCTCATTTATAGATGAGAAGACTGATGCTCAGAGAGGTTTCCTGTCATAAAGTGTGGAGAGATGATCCCAACGTAGGTCTCCAACACCAAATGCCAGGGTCCTCTGGTTCTATTTTAATACCTTTGTACATGGAGTTGAGCTGTCCAAACCTGCCAAGATTAGGACTTCTGGGCCCTGACCCATTCCTGTGTGGTGGGAGGAGGAGAGTGTGGGGCCAGGCAAAGGGTCCTCTGAGTGTCCCCTCCCACCACCCCTGTTTTATTCACGGGAATTCTAGTTGAGATGGGGAGGTGGTAGAGCTTGCTTAGTGGTTGAGGGCCTAAGCTCCACCACTCCCTTGATTTGTGATTCTGGGCTTGGCACTTCATGTCTTCGCCCTCATTTTTCTCATCTAGAAAGGCGATAATTAATACCTACTACCTCAGAGGGTTGCTGAGAAGATGAAATGAGTTAGTATACTTGAAGTGCTTAGCAGAATGCCAGGCACAGAGAATGCTTCATTAAGTGGTAGCTGTTG